CAGAGCGTCCTATCTCAAGAAATCAACACACACAGCTTTGCTAAACCTTCTAAAACGGATCCAAAATCTCCATAGAGAAAACAAGCAAACCCCTCCAAGGATCTCCAGCAACAATTACGGACAGCGCAAGACAACGTCAAAGCAATCCACCTCAGGAAAGCCAGCATCGCGCTGAAAAAACTCAAAGCAACTTCCTACTCCTTGGGGGAACAAGGCCACGAAAGTATTGGCACAACGGCTCCGGACGAAACAGGCACAGGCACGCATTCCATTCATAAACACACACCAGGAACAAAGTAATGCAACCCACACAAATATGCAACAAATTCGCACACTACAATACCACCTTGTACAACCTAAGAGACCAAAGAACCCAGGTCCAACCCACCCCCACATCCATACGCAACTACCTAGCAAAGCTTACACTCCCCAAACTCCTAGAACATCATACCAAAAGCCTATCCGCACTGATCACCACAAAGGAAGTGCTCAACCAGATAGAAAAAATGCCGAAGGAGAAAGCGCCGGGCCCAGACGGCTACACCAACGCATACTACACTATTTTCAAGAACGAACTGACTCCGGCCCTCACACGCTTCTTTAATGAAGCCACTCATCTAGGAACCTCCCCTGCTGAGTTTTGATCGGTACATGTCATCACTATCCCCAAACCAGGGAAACCCCCAACTACATGCCAAAACTTCAGACCGATTTCTCTTCTAAATGCAGACGCAAAACTCTATGCCAAAATCTATGCAGAACGACTCAAAATCATATTACCAACACTAATTCACACAGACCAAGTGGGATTTGTGGCAGGCAGACAAGGGCCAGGCAACACCAGGAAAGCGCTAGACTTATACAAAATACTAAAGAACACCAAGCAACCGAGCGATATGCTATCCCTAGACGCCGAAAAGGCACTTCCTTCAGGAAACCCTACGGGCCTACAGCTTCCCAGACCCTTTCCTCTCCGTGGTTAAGGCTCTGTACAGCTATCCCACGGCAACAGTACTAACCTCGGGGTTTAGCTCACAGGCCTTCCCCATCACGAACGGAACCCGCCAAGGGTGCCCACTGTCCCCCCTCCTCTACGTGTTAGCCTTGGAACCCCTGGCAATAGCAATCCTGAACAATGATACCATCCACGGAGTACCAGTCAGCCACAAAGAATACAAACTTGGCTTATTTGCCGATGACATCCTCCTTACACTCACGCAACCACTCATAACACTCCCCTCATTACACAGAGAAATACATGCATACAGCCAACAGTCATACTACAAACGCAACATCATCAAAACACAAGCAATGTGCCTCAACATACTGAAACCCATAGAAGTACAACTGAAGGCAAGCCACAGCTTCGATTGGAGAGAGGACTACCTGGTGTACTTAGGCGTCAAAATAACCCACAAAGAAAATTAGCTATTCCCTGCTAATTACACGAAATTGTTGAAAGACATAGACACCCAACTACAAGCATGGAAGAGCCTGTTCCTGTCCTGGGTAGGAAGAATGGCAGCACTGAAAATGACAATCCTCCCTTAAATTCTCTATCTCTTCTGTACACTACAAATCAAAATCCCACAAAGCTACACAACAAAACTACAAGCAATCCTCCTCCATTTTAGCTGGGGCGGCAAACACCCTCGAGTCCCCAAAACGTTACTACTGAGAAATATAAAATCTGGAGGCATGGGCTTCCCCAACATCAAAGCATACTACCACTCCACCATCCTCACAAATGTGATTAGCGCCCACTCGACCACCTACACCCCCCAGTGGGTAGCAATAGAGAGCAACTACTGCGGAAATCAGGATCTGTCAACAATGCTCTGGACACCCCAACACCTAAGACAAAAACCTGCAACCATGATAAACACCTCCTTAAAATATGGGACACCTACAGAGACCAACTGTGCTCAGCACACCCATGGGCCTTGGCAACAC